TGACTTCGCACGCACGAGGGGGGCGGATCTCCCAAGCATGCCTCGATGGGCACGTTCCTCGGCGGCGCCCTGGCGGTACGAGTTGGAGGGGGGCTGTAATGACGATCGTTTCTTCACCATCGGTCCGTAACCCCCGTCCCCGTGCACGTTGAGCCTGGGCGGCTTGCAACTTCTCGAGTGGTCACTGGGACTAATTCAGGTTCGCTCTCGTGCTTGCGCTCTTCCGAAGGAACCAGAGGCCCGTTTGCGGGATTACCGCGCTGCGAGGGGCGGGCTTCAGCAACGTAAGGACCAGTCCTCAGCTCCTCGGTCCCAGTCGCAATTCCAATGCAGCTTCCAGTTTCCAGTTTCCAACGTTCTAGTTCGTTCTTGCTGTCATGCAGAACCTGTGGACGGCCCGCGCGAGGGGGGGAGCCGAAAACCACCCTGGCTGCCACGGCCTCCCGGGGCGCTCCAAATTCCCCCGGGGGTCCTGGGAGAGGTGCAAGCTGCACCAGCCACGCGCCACCGAGGCGGCCATTCGGCCCCTCGAGCACACCAGGCTCGCGCCGTTGGGGCCACGATCCTTCGCAGAATCTATAGGGGAACAAAAAGTGGCATAAACATAAAAACTCAAAGGTCCGCGCGGATATCTTGGGTCGGCGCTGGGCCCCCCTCCCTGGCGCACGGAGCGCGCCAGGGGCGGCGCCGGAGGCGCCGCCGGGGGGCCCCAGCGCCGATCCGAGAAATCCGCGCGGACCTCTCCGAGTTTTTATGTTTATGTCACTTCTTGTTCCCCTAATCCACCAGGCTCGCGCCCCCGAGGCCACGAGACCCTGCAGCGTGCGCCAGGGCCCGCGCCCGCGAGCGCGCGGCGGCCCTACGCGCAAAAGAGCTGCCCCAGAAAGCGCGCCCCCCGGAGGCCGCGGCGACTCACAGGTCCCGCCAGGCTCGCGCTGCCGAGGCGACGATCCCTTGCACAGCCCCGCCTAGGAGTTGGGAACATTCCAGGCTAAGTAGCGCATGAACGCCACTCGAAGCGCTTTCTGAAGCGGGAGCCCACGTCCGGATCTACGAAAAGCATACGACCCCCCGAAACAACAAAAGAGAGCTCCAAGAAAACGCCCAGGGACCAGTCCAGACTCTAGGCTCTCTTGAGCAAAAGCTGGTGTCAATGGAAATTGCAACTGTTGCTCAATATTTCTGATAGGCGTAAATCGCGCCAGGCTCGCGCCCTCGATGTCATGATCACTTTCTGCAAGTTGCGGCAGACTCGCGACCCCCGAGGCCGTAGGCTTCCTTGACAGATCGCACCAGATTTGCGCCCCCGAGGCCACGATCCGCTGTAGTTTGCGCCAGGATCGCGCCCCCGAAGCTGCAATCCTATATAAATCAGGCCGTGACCCGTGGTAAATGACACCAGATTCGCGCTCCCGAGGCTACAGCCCATCGCACTCCGCAACGAATTCGCGCTCCCGAAGCTACAAACCCACGTTGCGGAGGCTGCCCAGAATCGCCACCCCCCCTCTCCAGAGCAGAACATTTTGATGTTATGCATTGGGACATGATGTGCTCGCGGGGCGCTCTTCGCCCCCCCACCGCTTCCTGAAATTCTGCGCTGACCCTTAGCCGCGAGTTCCCGAAAAATGCGCAGACTGCAAGGAGCACAAAAGACAATCCCAGGGCGACCTTCCCAAGATGGTCCCAAACAGGCCCCAGTCGTTCCAGGAGGGTTTCTAATCCACAACATGAAGGACATGCCCAAAGAAGACAACAAAGCGTACAACAATACATCCCATCGTTTGACACGCTGTGGTGATTGCCAGCCCTCCGCGCAAGATGTCCCTAGATGCCTTCAAGACAGCGCCTACGCATCCAAAAACAACTCTGAATTATATCTTTCTGGAAAAGAGGGCGAAGCCCTTACGGATAATGACGACATCGCATTGGATTAGGTATCCATCTTCTCTACCTCGTCCTGTTCGTTTTAACCATCGCTCTCTTATGCCTACTCCTTCTACTCCTGATGGTCCTCATTTTGCTTGACCGCCATTTGCCTCATTCTGTCCTCCTCCTGTACTCCCTTGCGCGCTGATCCTGTTTTCGTCATGCGTCCCTCTCCACCCATCTCCACTATGCTTCATCTGAAAAGTCTCGTGACTTCGTGGCGAACCGAACTTGTGACGATCGGTGGAACTGCGCACGCCTCAATGATTCGACCCAGTATGCCAACAATGGTGTCAATGCCATGAACAGGTCAAGAGAAAACGACGTGCTCGCCTCTTGTCTCAACCGCGCGAGCTCCTCTCTCTCCTGAAGGCGATCAGCATCTACAGACACGAGTTTGGAACAACAACTGGCCGAACACACACACACACACACACACACATTCACACACACACACACACACACACGCACGCACGCACGCACGCACGCACACGCACACACACAGGCACACACACACACACCGCATACGTATGATCGCTCGCTTGAGTCCCCGGTCGAACCGAGCCCTTCATGCGCGCACGAGGCAAACGTGATAGCTCACAACAACATATGCCGTGCCGCATCGGACCAGGAAGCCATCCATCGTGCGAGTCGCTTGCATGACTGCCTTACCAATATCCCCGACCCCCCTCCCCTCCCCTTGTCACCTCCACCAAGAATTTCCCACAGGAAACTCACAGGAACTCCCCAGGACTATTCACGGCCCTCTCGGCAGCTGGGGCGGTCCGATGACCTCTCCCTGACGCATTCTCACACCAGGGAGTCTCATCTACCAGGGCACGGACTTAACAGGCCTGGTGGCAAGCATGGTGCACCGAAGGACCCTGGAAGCGGCCCCATAATATTCAAACGTGCCCTTGCAATATCTGTTCCAGCACTCGAAGATTGTCCACGCTGTCACTTGTCCCTCCTCTGCGTCGTCGTCGTCCTCGTCCTCCTCCTCCTCTTAATCCTCCTGTGGCGAGCTCATCCTTTTCATTATCCTCATCGGTGTCGTCGCCGTCCTCCTCCTCCTCCTCTTCCTCCTCCTCCTCCTCCTCCTCCTCCTCCTCCTCCTCCGCCCCCTCCTCCTCCTCCTCCTCCTCCGCCTCCTCCTCCTCCTCCTCCGCAGGCAGACAATGCCGAGGGCCGAACTCCTCGCGCTGGTGTTGGCCCTCGAGAATTCGACAGGGAAGATCCGTTTTCACTCCGACTGCCGATCGCTGTTGGACGGGTGGAATGCACAGAGGTACAGAGCTTGCATCGGTAGCAATGGCGACCTTTGGGTCCGTGTTCGATCGGCCTTACGCTCCAGGGGGTCCGACGCCAGTGATGTGGAGATCCGTTGGGTGCCCAGTCATCTCGACGATGATTTAGAGCGAGTCGATCGTGAAGGATTGCACTTTGTAGCTGTGGGCAATGTCTGTGCCGATAAGGCGGCTGGGGGTGCGGCCCTCCGGGCCAGCCGGTGCATCGTCGGCGATGCGCCTCGTACCGACGAATGGGATGCCATCGCTGCCCTCGTCCGGAGGAGGGCCCGCCGTGCGCTCACGAACACGATTTCCCAGGATCCGTGGAATGCCACTCGTGTCGAGCGCACCCGCCCGCCGACCCAATCCCGTCTCCAGCGTGCGTTGAGAAAGAGCCCGCATTCCTGGGAGAAAGTCCAGAGACGTTGGCTCTGCGTCCGCTGCCGCCTCCTGGTCCCCTCGGTCCGAGTTTTGGACGCCGCCGACTCTCCGTGCAACCCTCCCCCGTCGAGCGCGGGGGGGGGCCTGGTTTCCCAGGGGGTGTCTCGGCGGTTCAGGGGCCAATTTTGTCTGGAGGCGCGGACGTGCACGCCTCACACGTAATGCAGAGTTGGCCTCAGTGTTCGCGGTTTTCCTGTTCGGTCTGCGGTAAAACCGCCTCCACCGACTTTCGCCATCTCTGCAAGCCGTGTGAGCCATCGCGAAAGGGTGCCGAGAACCTTTCGCAAATTCGACGTGGCATCCACCCATGCCCCCAGGGAGCGCCGAAGGCCGTTTTAGCGGCCCAGAAGGTCCTCACAGGAGGGACTTCGGGTTCGTCAGGGCAGGGTAGGGCCTTTTTGTAGGTGTAGGGAGGGACATCGCGTCCCCAGGCTCCTTACTCCTTACTCCTCCTCCTCCTCCTCCTCCTCCTCCTTCTCCCTCCTCCTCCCCCCTCTCCTCCTCCTTTCCTCCTCCTTCCTCCTCCTCCTCCTGCCTCCTCCTCCTCCTCCTTCCTCCTCCTCCTCCGTCTGCTCATCCTCCTCCGACTCCTCCTCACAACTCCTCCTCCTCCTCCTCCTCCTCCTCCTCCTCCTCCTCCTCCTCCTCCTCCTCCGACTCCTCGTCCCTGGCGTCGCCGTCATCCTCCGCATCGGTGTCGAC